TTTTTTTTTTTTTTTGGTTGTTGCAGGATGTCTCTTTGCAATCCCAGTACAAGAGGCAGTAATATTTCAATTGCTAAGACAAGAAGCAAGGGCCAGAGACCTAGGCCACCAAAGCACGCAACCTAATACTCACACCCCTGTTGGGACAGGATTAAACATCTTCTTTAGAACCAGTAGACCTTGAACAAGTCATTCCTTAGAACAACAAGATGTTGGGAATGATTCTGATCATGAAAAGTGCCCAAGGAAGAGAGGTCGGGGAGTTGCAAAAGGTATGAAATGCCAAGGAACCTATTTGATTGGATATGGATCCACACTGATGAGCAAGGGAAATTGCCACATGGGATGTTGTCAGATAAGGTATGCAGCACCATCTCCTCATAGCTAAAGACATGCTTGTCGATGCCATACACAGCTTAGGGTATGGTGACTCCCTCACATTCAGATATTTATTGGAACAAATTCTTTGTAAGCACTCTATGAATTTGAGTTTTAGTGTTATGATTAACTTGTATGCTCAAACAGAGTTAACTAATATTATGATTATTTTTAGGCAACATTCCAATGGGAGGAAATAGAGCCAAGGGTTATATAGAATGCTTGGTTGGCAGAGTGCAATAAAAGGATGACTGGTACTATGTCCAAATTGAAGGCTCAATGTGCTAAGGACAAATTCTAGAAAATGCCATTGTAATATCCTAAATTTTCGAGAATTTTATTATATAAGTTAGGGACTTATTTTCGAGAAAATATTATTTTGGGGCTTAATGTGAATATTCTGAAACTTGAGGGACTTAAAAGAGAAAAAGATTTGGATAAGAATCAACTATTTTTTTCCTTCTTTCTTCTTCCTCACCCGCGTGTTTCTCTTCTTCTTCTTCCCTGCAGCCGAACAAAGGCCCCCAAGCCCGACAGCACCTCCATTGAAAAATCGGTAGAAAGCTTGATATTTCTCTTTCTTTTCTTGTTCTAGGACTGAAATTGAACCCAGAAATCTTCCCCCCCTAGAAAAATCTCGGTTCTGCTCTGCTCTGTTTCTTCCATCTGCTGCTCCTGCTTTGTTGGGGCGAATTGGTTTGGTTTCTGGTAAGAAACAGCCACTATTTCCTCTGCTCTTCCTTGAATTTAACTTGGGTTACTCTAAATTCCTCTTGTTCCTTCAATTTTGAGGTAGATCCATGAGGTTCCCCTGCAGATCCCATCGGCTTCCCCAACCCGCCAGCTCCAATTTTGCTTGCTGGAAAAATTGTGGTATGTGGCAGCTTCTCTAAGTCTGAATTTTACTCACTTAATTGCTGCCCCTGTTGAAATTTTTATCACTTAGTTGCTGCCCCTGCACTGTCCGAATCCTTCTGCTGTAAGTGGAAGAATTTTGGCAGCATTAAGTTATGTTTTAAGCTTGGTTTAGGTAGAGAAATTAGCTTGATTTGCTGCTGTGAGTTTTTATATGAAAATCCCGTGTCTTAGCTGCTGTTTTGCCATGGAATTTTTCTGTTTTACGAATCACTGTTTACTGGTACTGTTCGGGAATCACTGTTCACGCAGAAAATTTTGCAATTTGCTGCTACATTTTCTGCATTTTCAGCAAATTTTTCTGCAAACTGGCTGCTACGTTTTCTGCACTTGCTGCTGCATTTTTCTGCAAGTTGCTGCTGTTTTCACTGTTCACGCAAAAACATTCTGCATTTTCCTGCACTGTTTTTTTTTTTTTACCAGAAAAGTCTGTATTTTCTCCAGAAAAATTCTGCATTTTGTAGCATTTTTCCTTGCTATTTTTCTGCATTGTTTTCCCCAAATTTCTTGCCATTTACCGCAAATTTCTGCTCCTTGCCAAATTCTAGAAATTGCAGTTACTGTTCACGCATACTGTTTATACATGTAATTTCAATTATTTGGAGTAGAAAATCCCGTGTGCTAGTTGCGGTTTTGCCAAAAACAATAATTGAATAAAAGCCCTGTCCCTCCATTTCTTGCCCGTGAGTATAGGTATTAATTCTTAGATGTTTTGGTTAGGTCCTTGATCTTTCAGCCACTTTAGCACTTGGATTGACTCTTCGGTTTTATGCGAGTGAGGTAAGTAAATTATGGTAACTCCCTTCGATTTCAAAGCATGTTTTAAATTGTTTTTGAGATGGTGGCAAGGTTTAAATTGATTTTAAATTGATTTTATTAGCACCGAGTATGATTGATTTGAAATGGAATTATTTTCGTTTTCATTGAGTAGAGCATGCCACTTGGAACTTACTGAACTGCTCTGATGATTTAAGAATTTTTGTAAATTATGATTTTCTGTTAAATCCATGCCCACATGGAATTTTCTGGTTATTTCTGAAATTTGAGATTTGATTGTGAATTACGGATTTCTTTTGTAAATCCTGCATGGTTTTGTCTCTGATATGGTCATGTATTACTGTGCCTGCTAGTGGGAGGTTTATAAACGCTAGCACATGTCGACATGTTTACTAATAGGACCGGTTCATTCTGTAATCCTGCCAATGGGATAATACATTGGTTATTACTGAAATCCTGCAAATGGGATAAAACATTGGTTACTACTGTGCCCGCCAGTGGGAGGTTTATAAACGTTGGCCATGACCTATAGATGAGACTACTACTGAATTTTCTTCTACATTAACGGTTTGTCATTGAACGCTTTGTTATTGAACTGAATCTGATTCTGCATTAATGGTTTATCATTGAACGTTTTGTTATGTTAAACTGTTTATCTAGCATGCTTAAATTTTACCCACGGGCTATCTATATTTACTTACTGAGTTATCTCATAGTTTTTCCTTGTCCACCATTTCAGGAAGCGAAGTCAAAGACGGGGAAAAACGAGGGGAGTGACGAGTTAGAAGGCTAGCCACCTGTAATTTGATATAGATTTTAGATATAGATCATGATCTTGTAAGCTAAACTTTATTTGGAGATTTTATAAATTCATTTAATGGATTGTTAGTTTACAAGAGATTTGACCTTGAGATTTTGAGTTTAAGTGTTGGACATAGAATTATTTTGAGATATTTGATTTAAGTTATTGGATTGTCAGATGTGAATTGGATAAGTTCCGAGCCTTGTGCATTTGTGGGACCCTCTCACGAGTGCACGGCGTCTGCCACGTCCCCGGATTTGGGTTCTGGGGCGTGACAACCATCATACATTCCCCCCTTAGTGTGGCTGGGCCTTATAAAGATTTGGGCAGAGGACAAAAAACATAAGGAAGCATCAAATATTGTATAGGTAAATTGAGAAAAAAGACCTATTGTGACTCAAATTGGGGGCTCTGTGTCACATAAGAAGTACATGGAAAATTTGGTATATTCAACTTTTACTCTTTTTTTTTTTCGATGAGTACATTCAACTTATACTTTTAATTTAGTACATTAACACATTTTAAAGCTAATTAGTTAACTAATAACTTCCAAAATTCTTTGATATTCTAGAAAGCTCAACTGCCTAACAATCGGTCATTGATTCACCTAGATGGTTACATGCACAGGCATTCCAAGCCTAGTTCTAGCCAAGAAGCACCATGTGTGTTTTGTAATATAGTTGTTGAGACAATTGTGGTAAACATTATATGATCATTCTTTACCTTATGATAGTTTGATTAGTTTTACTTGAATATATATAAACTCAAAATTAAATTTTATATCATGTTTGATAGTGTTGATTTGAATTTGATAAAAAAATGTGATCTACCATATAATTTATAAATATTTAGTGAATGACTTGAATGATGGAGTTGCACATTAATGACTTGAATGGTGGAGTTGTGTATTAATGACTTGAATGATGGAGTTGTGTATTAAATAAGTGTTCTTTATAAGGGAATGTGGTGTTAAATTTATTTGATAACATGGCCTAAGTCTTATTTTTAGGGGAGATTTTGTCAAATTTTCATTTGATATTAACAAATAATATGATTTTAAATTAATTTTTCATTTCTTTATTTTGTAGGATGATGTGATTTCATGAATGACACAAGAACTTAAACTGGAATTTAAAATATTAATCAAATTAATTAAAAAATAAAATGTAAATTTATAAACACTTAATATTAAGGATCTGTTTTGTTTATAGAAAATAACACCTAAAAAACTATTTTCTACAATTATTTGGTAAGCAAAGAAAATAATGTGATCTACCATTTGATTTATAGATATTTAATGAATGACTTGAATGATGGAGTTAGATGTTAAATAAGTGTTCTTTATAATGGAATTTGGTATTAAATTTATTTGCTACCAGGGGCTAAGTCTTATTTTTAGGGAGATTTTGTCAAATTTTATTTTGATATTAATAAATAATATGATTTGAAATTAAATTTTCAATTATTATTATTATTATTTGTAGGATGGTGTAGTGTCACAAATGACACAAGAATTTAATACACAGGATAACACACAATGGCAAATGGATGATAAGATGTATGGGCGTGCCTTAGTTGATATGAGAGGAGGGCCTCAAAAAGGTTTTCTAGTTGGGTTACCACAACATAAGAGGCCAGAGTCTATAAGTATGTACATGTAGAAACGTTATTAGAAGAATATAGCGACAATGTGAACATTGCTAGGCAAAATGATGTTGTCCAACTCCAAAATAAGGTGATTGTTTTAGAGGAGTAGAATTGAGCTTTTGGGGAGGAATTACAATTGATTAATCAACATCTTGGCATATTACCTTGAGAAGGGAAATGTTCCTCTGATAGCATCCTCATTACATCTAGAGATGCCTCAGCACCTAATGAGATTCCCTCTACATAACTTGTGTGGATATGAAATATATTTTATGTATTTAGATTAGTATAAGGTATTTTAAGGTATTTAATATGGAACATGATATATTTGGTTTATTTATAATATCATGTTGGTATTTTGAACATGACATATTTTGTGACATATTTTGTGTGTGTATGTATATATATATGGGGCTTTATATAATGAATATGTCAATAGGTACTAGCATTTTTATTTGAAAACAACTAAGGATATTTTATTTTATGTGTGGATTTATTGTCTCTAGACTCATTATTTAAAAACAGTGCATTCTAGTAGTCATATATTGTAGTACATCATGTTAAAAAACACTTGTTGTCATATATGATTGCAATATAAGTATATTGTTATTTTACTAGAAATTTACAAAATGCTGCCCTTCCCTCTAGGAAGTTTATTTTGTGCCATTCCCCAAAAAATAAAGGTGCTAAGTTTTCTCTTTAAATGCATTATTTGGTATTCCCTCTCCACTTTTGAAATGCTGCTTATTGTAGACAAACTTCAAATTATTTTCCAGTGCAAAGTGTCATTCCACACTAAGAATTTTTGAAATGCCACCTTCTCTTTTGTTATTTTCAAAATTCATATCATTTTCCAATGCATTGCATTGGAAAATAAGTATTGTGCCATTCCACACCAAAAAATTTTGAAATGTCACCTTCTCTTTCATTATTTTCAAAATTCAGATCATTTTCCAACGCATTGCACTGGAAAATAAGTATACTCTACCATCTAATTGCTCAAAAATTTAGAAATGCCACCTTTTCGCTTTTAATTTTCAAAACTTAGATTACTTTCAAAGGCAATGCGCTGGAAAATAATTCAGTGTCTATATAAATATACTTCCTCTTTATCTGCACCTTCATTTTCTCCTTTATTACTTCTTCTACTTCTTGTCTCTTTCCATTTCCTTCTTCTCCTTTTATTCCACATTCTTTTCCACGTTCTCTCTCTATTTCCTCTTCCTTTTCTTCTAGATTCCTTCTCATGTTAATTCCATTTCCTCATCCTACTCTTCTCAAATTCATTACTATTTGCTAATTTTCACTTAAAAGTGTACTAATTCATTCTTTTTTTTTTTTAGGTATATAATTATATGTTCATTTATTCCAATTAATGTATTGTTAATTTACATTTATAATTGTTTTTTAATTTTCACTTATTTTCATTTCATTTCCTCTTTCTTCTCTCCTTGAATTTTTTAATATACTATTTCATTCTTCTTTTGTTTTAGGTATATAGTTATATGTTTCATTCCAACTAAAGGTATTATTAATTTACATTTATTATTGTTTTCTAATATTCATTTGGATATTACACTAATTCATTTATATTTTTCCTAGCAATTTTTTTTAAATGTTGAAGTTAGAATTATTATTCATTTCAATTTATTAGTAGTGTAATTTTTATTTGTTCTATTTTTATAAATTGTCATGTATATAACTAATTTAATTTTGTATATATCTTTAATTTTATGAATTACATGGCATTAAAATGTATTTATGTATTTAATTAAATTTACTTAAAAAAATTAAGAAAATACATGTATTATGTAAATTTTTGTATATGATTGAATTTATAGAGTAAAATTTGTCAAATATTATTGTGTTTATATGTGTGATATTTATTAATTTAAGTTGATTTAATTAATTTATAATATGTGAAGTTTTTTATTTATTCAAATTATATTATTTTAAAGATATTTATGTGGTGTGTGCGTTTATCTATATTACAATTAGAATTTATTTTAATCTAAAATTATCACATTTTAAAAAAATGAAAAATTATATTTTTTTGGTTAATTGACTCTTTGTTTTTAGTGCATTCCGTTGGAAATTAAGAGTAAGTTGAATTTTTTTTTTATTTGAACATGAATTTCCAATGTATTTTGCTGGAAAATGAGTTGATCATGTAGCTTATTCTCAAGCTCATTTTTCAACAAACAGTCCTGGAAAATAAGTGAAGTTTTTTTTTTTTTTATAGAGTTGAGCATTGGAAGTTCTCGAGTTGATGATGGTTACAAGTCAAGATTATTTTCCAATGCATTGCACTAGAAAGGGACTTGATCAAATGCATTATCCTCAACATTATTTTCTAGCGTGGTACACTGGAAAATAAATACTCAATTTTTTGCCAACATAGAGCACTGGAAGTTTTCCAACTTATGACGGTTATGATTGAGACAATTTTCCAATGTAGTATGTTGGAAAAAAGAAGTTAATGACAGATAATTAGACATTATTGCAATGTTATTTATGTGTATTTTCCAGCATATTATGTTGTAAAATATTGTTCCAGCGCACCCCATGTCGTCAGAAACTACTATTTTCCAGGCACTATTTTGCAACGACAATTTTCGGTGTTAAGTACTAGAAAATAATATATTTCCAGCACTTTTTATTTATTTTCCAGCACATTTATCATTGTCAAATAACCATTTTTTTTGTAGTGACAGTCTTTGTGGGACAATATTTGATTTTTATTATTGTTTAACTTACAATGACTAGTTCTCTTGTTAGAGTAAAACACTACTAGAAAAATAATTAATTCAAACCGATCATATACAGACCGAATCATGTCGGTCCGTATAAATATATATTCGGACCAATATCAGTCCGAATATATTAAGGTGGTACCAAATCCATTAATCAAAATATTTGGACCAGTTTCAGTCCGTATATTTATGGCAGGAATTAGCAATGCAAATGCGCCAATAATATTCAGACCGACTATGGTTTGAATATTTTTTAGGAAAAAATAAATATTAAATAACAAAAAATTAAGAATAAAATATTGTTTAAATGAATATATATGGACTATAATCAATCCGTATATATAACTCAGAAAAAGCCGATGTTCATTTAATATTCGGATTGATTTCGGTTCGAATATCCATAAATATTCAGACCGAATATGGTCCAAATATTTTTTAGTAAA